CAATATTTAGTAGATTTGCCAGGTTTAATGTATTTCCCAGATCTCCTAGAATTCTACAATATTTGGTAGTTTTGCCAAGTTATTATCAGTTTTTAATGTTCTCCCCAGATCTCATAGATTTCTACAATATTTAGTAGATTTTCCAGGTTATTATTAGTTTAATGTGCTCCCCAAGTCTCCTAGAATTCTACAATATTTAGTAGAAGTTCGCGAGTTTATTATTTGTTCTTAATGTTCTCCCCAGATCTAATAGCTATCTACAGTATTTTGTAGTTTTGTCAGGTTATTTTTAGTTTTGATGTACTCCTAAGATATCATAGCATTCTACAATATTTGGTAGCTTTGCCAGGTTTTTATAAGTTTTAATGTGCTTCACAGAACTCGGAATTCAACAATATTTAGTAGGATTTTCCAGCTTATTATCAGTTTTCAATGTTCTTCCCAGAATTCATCATTCTACAATATTTGATAGCTTTGCCAGGTTATCAGTTTTTGATATACTTCCCGATCTGATAGCATTCTACAATATTTAGTAGATTTTGCAGGATATTATCAGTTTTGATGTACTTCTCAGATCTAGAATTCTACAATATTTGGTATCTTTGCCAGGATATTATCAGTTTTGATGTACTTCCAAGATATAAAAATTCTACAATATTTGGTATCTTTGCCAGGATATTATCAGTTTTGATGTACTTCCAAGATATAAAAATTCTACAATATTTGGTAGATTTGCCAGGTTATTATCAGTTTTTAATATACTCCCCAGAACTCAACATTCTGCCATATTTATTAGCTTTGCCAAGTTATTATCAGTTATAATGTACTCTTCATAACTAAGCATTTTACAATATTTGGTAGATTTGCCAGGTTATTATCAGTTTTTAATTTGCCTCCCCAGATCTCCTAGCATTCTACGATATTTTGTAGTTTTATTAGTTTTTTATTGTGTTCAATATATTTAAATCACAAAACAGTCTACTATATTGGGCATCAGTGCCCGACTATCAGATTTATTTTATGTTCATTTGAAATATCGTACAAAACACAAAGATATTCTGTTTTTTTTTTTTGCCAGGTTTTCATCAGTTTTTAATGTGATCTCTAGATCTCCTTGTACCTTGCAATATTTTGTATCATTGCCAGTTCTTACCATTTATTTGTTGTGTTCATCAGAATTTTTTTTATTATAGTAATTACAACTAACCTGGCAATGTTACCAAGTTTTCAGTTTTACTTTCGTAGCACCGAACATTGTGATGTTTATCCTATATAGAGACATCAATTTATTGTGTTACAGATTCCCATTTTACCTTTTGTGATAAGATCATCAATTGATGCATTTCAAATTTTGTCAGATGACTTCTGGAAACGTGAATAGGTTGTTTAGGAAAAAGATGAATGTCTATATCCCAATTGAAGACGATACATTCAACATGGTGTCATTATTGTTTGAATTTTCGAGTTTTGATCATTCCAAAAGATGACGTCGCAAGTTATTTGATTGTTGTTGACGTGTCCAATGAAGAGCCTCAGATGTCTCCATACATCTCTATCACAGCAGTCGCAATGTCCTCTATCTTGGGTGTGTAAAGCTGCTGTTTTGGGTCCATGTCAATTATCTGTTGTTGTTGTGTCCAATGAAAAGCCTCAGATGTCTCCATACATCTCTATCACAATAGTCGCAATGTCCTCTATCTTGGGTGTGTAAAGCTGCTGTTCTGGGTCCATGTCAAATTTCTGTTGTTGTTGTTGTGTCTAATGAAGGGCCTCAGATGTCTCCATGCATCTCTATCACAACAGCCGCAATGCCCTCTATCTTGGGTGTGTAAAGCTGCTGTTTGGGTCCCTATCAATTTTCTGAAAGGCTGAAGCCATTGCTGGGCATGAGAATATGTAAGTAGGTGTTAGTTCCACACCAGGACAGTTGTTGCATGTCCTATAGGTTCTTGTGCCATCTGAATGTATTGTCATTCCTCATATCCTGCAATACGAATACAAGAAACTAAAAGAGAAATGATATATTGAGTAATTTACATAAATGGAAATATTTTACAAATTTGTTGAATATTATTTCAATTTTTTGGTGAAAATACATTTGCATATAGAATAGTTGTGGATTTTGAAGAGAAGAAAGAATAAATGAATCTAAAATATTAGAATATACTTCCTGTCATCTCTAGTAACTGTATATATGTCATTTCTAGTAGACAGTCTATATAGATTTCCTGTCACTTCCAGTAAACAATCTATATAGACTCTCTGTCAACTCTAGTAACCGTTCTATATAGAGATCTTGTCACCTTTAGTAGCTGGTCTATGAATTCATGTCTATTCCATTTTCTTTCCTTGGAACTTTATGGTGTAACTTGGAAGAATCCTGGGTCCCAAAACACAACACTAATCCATCTGAATCCGCCATAATCATATATTACACTATAATGCGGCTTGTGATTGTAAAACGACATTTGAAATACTATCCCGCATGTGTTTCTTTTCAACGAAAAATCAAAATTTATTTCAAGGAGAAATTACGATTATTTCTAACCTTTTGGATGATGTATGAAAGGATGAATTGTGAAGAGTAATGATAAACGGAAAAATAAAAGTGTCCAGGGATGGTAAGTGGAACACTGTGGGTTCGATTCCCATCCCTGGACACTTTTATTTTTCCGTTTATCATTACTCTTCAACAATTCATCCTTTCATACCTCATCCAAAAATTTTGATCAATTTTGTAAATACATATACAACTTTCTCTTGAATTGGAAAAAAGAGAAGGAATCTTAGAAAAAAAAAAAGAACTGCGATGCTTGCTCTGTGTGTTTTGCTTTGTTGTTTGTTTTTCTCTTTGGACAATTTTCTTTAGTTAATTTATGTAAAATAATGAATTGAACAGGATTGTATATAGCCGAATTGCTGTAATGCAGTGAAAGGTATTGACGCTAATATCCCTGAGTTTGGGATATCGCGTTTCATGATGTTAATAAAGTTTAATATATATACCTCATCCAAAAGGTTAGAAATAATCGTTATTTCTCCTTGAAATAAATTTTGATTTTTTCGTTGAAAAGAAACACATGCGGGATAGTATTTCAAATGTCGTTCTATAATAATCATATAAGGAATTTTTCTTTTTCCACTTTTCTGAAATCTTTTTCAGATAATTATCCCAACGATGAAACTTTCTCTGCCAGTTTCACATCTCGAAGGTTTGTGTTCTTTGATAATCTTGTCATATACAATATCCATTTAAAGCCATCTATATAACATTGATTTATTCTTATTTCAAGTTTGACTTCAACCTTCTAATCAGTATATTTTTTACTTCAGAATTTTTTGCTTTGAGCCATATATTGATAGTCATTCAAATATAAAATTAACTTATTCCTCGTTAAAAGTTTAATTATAAAATTTATAAATGTGGATATTCATAATATTTTCAGCGAATTGTTTATCTTGGGCATTATAATTATCCTTTATCAAAGTTTAAAAATACAAACTCTTTTTTTTTTTCCTTGTTAATTACACTCATGGACAAAACTTAAGAAAGTGAAAAGTCTTTGATGTCACCTGCTGTCTTTTTTTTCTGTAGGAGACGGAGGAAATTTTGCGTTCACACTTGGTTATCTCGTGTGTCTTCAAAAAAGGTCACTGTAATATATTTCAGAGTTATTGTTTGAATCCCGATATACATGCTAAAAGGTACAACTTCCTTAAATTTTGTCCATGAATATGTCTTCAATAAAGGTTAGGGTAATATCTTTCAGAGTTATTGTCTGAATCCCGATATACATGCTAAAAGGTATACGTTTTGTCCATGAGTGTATAAATGTATTTCAAATTTTCTTTATTTTGGGTTATCTTCAGATTGGAGAGCATATTCTTGGATTGTTGTACCATTCTGAATGAATTATATTTTCTGAGGGCAAATCGAGATTGATGGCAGATTTTTGTTGTCAATTTAAAGATTTATTAATTAATTAAACGCCCCACTTCCAGAGTATATCTACGAATAAGGAAATAAGATATGCGGAATCCTTACCTGATTTCCCGTTTTTAACATAATTTCAGTCTTTAATGGCTTTTTTTGTAGCAAAGATATAAATTTATAAATATAAGAACGCAAAACACGTTCGTGGATGGCTTTTCTTGATTTATCAAGAAATTGGGTTGTCCAAATATCACGGAGCAAGTTAAATAAACATTTAGTTTATTTTTGCTCCACTAGATGGCATTCTGCCATCTAAAAAGCATATATGCTCGTTGTCAGGAAATTCCTTCTTTATTAGTAATATTAACACCTGACCCACTTATCTTTTATTTTTCTATTGTTTTTTTTTTCAAAAATATGAGTATATAAAAAATTGGAAAACAAATTTTGTATATGAAAGAGGAATTTAATAAATATTTTAAACATTTGCTCTCAAATAAACTCACAACAAGCAATACCTATATACACCTATTCATATATGATTTAAGATTCCAAATTTAGTCATAAGTTTGTGTCATGTGTACGTGCACATTTTAGTTTAAAATATTTGAAAATAAAACTCAAAATTATAATAGTATATTGAATTACTCTCCCAAATCAAGATGGTAGTCAAAATTCATATTTTCTTCCATTGAGGAATTGGTCATTCGCTGTAATATTAGAAATAACCTTATAGCTAGAAGACACTGAGAATTTTTTCTTTTAACTTTCACCTATCACAAAGCTTTTTGGGCAAAATCTACTCCAACAATTGCTTATACCAAACCTTCAAGAAACCTATATGTAAAATTGCTGTAATTTGCATAACTATATAGTTTAAGTTGTAAAACGACATTTGAAAATTATCCCGCATGTGTTTCTTTTCAACGAAAAATAAAAATTTATTCCAAGGAGAAATAACGATTATTTCTAACCTTATGGATGAGGTATGAAAGGATGAATTGTGAAGAGTAATGATAAACGGAAAAATAAAAGTGTCCAGGGATGAGAATCGAACCCACAATGTTCCGCTAACGGGCAGCCTAGTAGACATGGCATCTGCCCGGTAAGCGGAACACTGTGGGTTCGATTCCCATCCCTGGACACTTTTATTTTTCCCGTTTATCATTACTCTTCACAATTCATACTTTCATACCTCATCCATAAGGTTTGAAATAATCGTTATTTCTCCTTGGAATAAATTTTGATTTTTCGTTTAAAAGAAACACATACGGTATAATATTCAAATGTCGTTTTACAATCACAAGCCGCATTATATTATATTGCCACGTGGAAAATTAGGGAAGACAAAAACTCCAGGAGGGGACAGCAATTTTATTTCAGGGAAGGACAAAACTAAGAACGGTAAACAAAAGATAAGCAACCAGGGAAATTTACAGAGTAGCAAGATATAAAAATAAAAATGACCACTCTGTTAATAAAAAATAATAATATTAATAAATACTATGTTACATAAATAATCTTAATAAATACTATGTTACAATATAGTTTAAGTCTTAAAAGGTCTTAGTAAAGTTTTAATAAATATTTAAAATAAAGATAAAGGATGAGCTACAATACCAATTTCGGTAAGTGTAGACAAAATGCCAACCTGTATACAATAGATTCGAGCTTTGACACATCAGTTTGATGTAAGAGATGAGTTATTCAGGTAAATATGTAAATAGGAAATTTATCTTTTTAAAGAAGAAATAAAAGTTAACGGCGACGAATTTCTTTATTGACAAGATATAAGTTTAACGAACTTTCAGATTATAACGTCCTTCAACAGGCTGTTATACAGATGTATTTAGCCTGTTAAAGACCGTTATTGTACGGAGGCTCGCCAAACTTATATCTTGTCAACAAAAAAACTCAAGAAATATGCGAAATAAACTCTGAGATAAAAATGATAAAGGCTATACAAGACTTAGAACAAAACACTATAAAGGAATGACAATACATCCATATGGTACAAGAACCTACAGGACATACAACAACTGTCCTGGTGTGGAACTAACACCTACTCACATATTCTCATGTCCAGCAATGGCCGCAGCCTTGCAAAAATTTGACATAGACCCAGAACAGCAGCTTTACACACCCAAGATAGTGGACATTGTGACTGCTGTGATAGAGATGTATGGAGACATCTGAGGCTCTTCGTTGGACACAACAACAACAACAAACTCATCGCTGTCAGTTTTTTTTATTATCTCTTCTTATAAATTATATCCGACGATTTTTCCTATTGTAATGTATGGGAAGTAATGTCTCATTTTGTCAAAGGATGTACTTATTTTTAGGTATTTGCTAAAGAGTAAGAAGACGTACGGAATTAGAAAAACAGCGAAAAGTCCCCAAATGTCTTTCTGTTAACCAGAGTTATTATTGTAGAAAGACATCAATTACAAACTTATCAAACTTTAAAACTTATGAACCCACGTTTCATTGATTCACTGTAACTTTCAAGGTGGAAAACTCAACACAAAGTTTACTTTTGTTGATCTATAACGCTTTAATAGAGTATAATTATACATAAGTCCTAAGGCTTAAGGTCCATCCTCAAAGTCCATGGAAAGAGAGATATTGTCTTTGTATATGTTTACATAGGGTTGAATAAGATTATATAAAGATATATTTCGAATATATTAAATTTTTCTTCCCATTGAAAAAAAAAAAATGAGCACAAATATTTTTTAAACTTAATTCTATTAACGTTATGTGGCGCTGAGTTTGTTGTTGACACACATTAATATGTTATAATACCTTGATAAAGGTTGGTGTTCAGCCAGCTGAAATATTGGTAAAATAAATGATATTTTGATCCAATATATGTCTTTTTAATTAAATAATGATATATATGCATATATATAGATAAAATCTATATATATAAATGTGAAATTTCATAAGTGGGTTTCACTAAAAACTTTCGTTAGAATGCATCGATTTTAATCACATTTTAAACACTTGTGTAAAACAAGATAATATTTTGCGTAACATCAAAATAAGTATAACTTAACTGTTTTAATTTTTTATTAATTAAATACAGAGAAAATTCACGACAGAATTAATTATTATTTTTTACTTATTTTTATTTAGTTAAGAAACATTGTAAATGTTCAATAATTATTATTATCCTTTTTCTTGATAGATTAGTACGATCTTTTATTTTTTTATATCAGCTATTTATGTTTTGCCGAAATTTCAACTCGGGTACTACTCGAGTGGAGCCGGGTCACTCGTCTGGTATGATAAATGTTTCAGAATAATTTTTGTTAAAGTCAATTTTGTTCATCACCCCAATGATGAATGCAAAGGTTGATGATAAAGAATGCGTCACAATAACGACTTTTTGGGACAAATTCAGTCAAAGGTAAACAACCTGTATACCATTGTTTCGAGATATAACCCTCATTAGTATAGTAGCGGTTTCAAATTCACAATATCCAACGAAAGATTACCTATTTGAAGACATGAATATCTTCTTTCTGCAGAAAATTCCTATATGTTTATATTTTATATCAATAATATATATTCAATAGAAAATTATTGATAGATAATTATATATATATTTAGATATCATATTTTGTGTTGACTTTCAATGCGGGAAGAAGTCGACACAGTGTTCTGAAGACACACTCATGGACAAAACTTAAGGAAGTTATAGATTCTAGCATGTATATCGGGATTCAGACAATGGCTCTGAAAGATATTATAGTGACCCTTATTGAAGACACAAGATAACCAAGTGTGAAAGTATTTGCCTTTGTTTCCTTCAAAAAAAAAAAACAATAATGTTATTAAAGACTTTCCATTCCTTAAGTTTTGTCCTTGAGTGTGTCTTCAATAAAGGTCACTGTAATATCTTTCAGAGTTATTGTCTGAATCCCGATATACATTCCAAAAGGTACAACTTCCTTAATTTTTATCCATGAGTGTGTCTTCAATAAAGGTCACTGTAATATCTTTCAGAGTTATTGTCTGAATCCCGATATACATGCTAAAAGGTACAACTTCCTTAAGTTTTGTCCATGAGTGTATCTTCAATAAAGGTCACTGTAATATATTTCCGAGTTATTGTCTAAATCCCGATATACATGCTAAAAGGTACAACTTCCTTAATTTTTATCCATGAGTGTGTCTTCAATAAAGGTCACTGTAATATCTTCCAGAGTTATTGTCTGAATCCCGATATACATGCTAAAAGGTACAACTTCCTTAAGTTTTGTCCATGAGTGTATCTTCAATAAAGGTCACTGTAATATATTTCCGAGTTATTGTCTAAATCCCGATATACATGCTAAAAGGTACAACCTCCTTAAGTTTTGTCCATGAGTGTGTCTTCAATAAAGGTCACTGTAATATCTTTAAGAGTTATTGTGTGAATCCCGATATACATTCCAAAAGGTACAACTTCCTTAATTTTTATCCATGAGTGTGTCTTCAATAAAGGTCACTGTAATATCTTTCAGAGTTATTGTCTGAATCCCGATATACATGCTAAAAGGTACAACTTCTTTAAGTTTTGTCCATGAGTGTATCTTCAATAAAGGTCACTGTAATATCTTTTCGAGTTATTGTCTAAATCCCGATATACATGCTAAAAGGTACAACTTCCTTAAGTTTTATCCATGAGTGTGTCTTCAATAAAGGTCACTGTAATATCTTTCAGAGTTATTGTCTGAATCTCGATATACATGGTAAAAGGTACAACTTCCTTAAGTTTTATCCATGAGTGTATTTGTATGAACAAGTAGCATGTATGGAGATTATTTTTCTCTAGAGATTCTTCCACCATATTTGCATATTTACAATTTTTCGCGTCCTGCGTCTTTTTTCCCATTCTCCTCATAGTGAATAAAATGAATTTATTATTAAATGATGATGCTGATGATAACGCTTGGAAAGTTGTCATTCTCATCTTAATAAAAATCTTTTAAAACTTATTCTGATTGATATGTTTAAACATCTTTGTTTCAAATCTCCCGGATATTAATCTAACAAATGCTAAAGATTTCTGAAGTTTCTTCATCTTTAATAAATGTAATCTCAAGGTTTCGGGTATCTCTTACCCTTCCACATTACATAGAAACATGTAAAACGGCGTTAAGATAAACTACTGTAGAAGGTCAGAGATACCTGAGATCTCGAGATTACGTTTAATGAAGATAAAAGAAACTCATCTCTAGAAACCTATGTACTTTTTCAAATGAAAACTGTCCATTGTGGAGAAGTGTCTTCTAGCGTAACTGTCCTCTCATGGAGTATGTTCTACTGTATTGGTGATGAAACCTGTCCTTTGTGGATAAGTGTCCTCTAGCATGAGTGTTCTCTCATGGAGTATGTTCTACTGTATTGGTGATAAAAACTGTCCATTGTGGAGAAGTGTCCTTTAGCGTAACTGTCCTCTCATGGAGTATGTTCTACTGTATTGGTGATGAAACCTGTTCTTTGTGGATAAGTGTCCTCTAGCATGAGTGTTCTCTCATGGAGTATGTTCTACTGTATTGGTGATGAAAACTGTCCATTGTGGATAAGTGTCTTCTAGCGTAACTGTCCTCTCATGGAGTATGTTCTACTGTATTGGTGATGAAACCTGTCCTTTGTGGATAAGTGTCCTCTAGCATGAGTGTTCTCTCATGGAGTATGTTCTACTGTATTGGTGATAAAAACTGTCCATTGTGGAGAAGTGTCCTCTAGCGTAACTGTCCTCTCATGGAGTATGTTCTACTGTATTGGTGATGAAACCTGTCCTTTGTGGATAAGTGTCCTCTAGCATGAGTGTTCTCTCATGGAGGTTCTACTGTATTGGTGATGAAAACTGTCCTTTATTCAGAGATGTCCTCTAGCATGACTGTCCTCTCATGGAGGTTCTACTGTATTGGTGATTAAAACTGTCCTTTGTGGAGAAGTGTCCTCTAGCGTGGCTGTCTTCTCATGGAGGTTCTACTGTGTTGGTGATGAAAACTGTAAATTGTGTATAATTGTCCTCTAGCATGAGTGTTCGCTCATGGAGTATGTTCTACTGTATTGATGATGAAAATGTCCTTTGTGGATAAGTGTCCTCTAGCATGAGTGTCCTCTCATGGAGGTTCTACTGTA